GCCTTCCAGCTGAGCCTGATGGTGGGTGGTCTTCTAGAGGTTGGCGTTCAAGCTGCGGGCGGCCCTGCTCCGTGCAGTCATTGGTATCATCCCATTGATCAGATGTGAAATGAGGCTCAGAGAGGCAGAGGAACTCACCCAAGTCCCAAGGCATTTTAAGTGGCAGAGGGGGCATTCAGAGCCTACTGGGCCTGACTCAGTCCCCGTTCTTCCTAAACCAGCCTATGGAAAAGAAGGTGGAGATGAGAGTCAGGGTGGTGGCGGTGTCCCCAGGACCCTGAAGGAAATAGGAGTAAGTACAAGAGATTGAAGGATGGGCCCAGCCTTTGTCCAGAGCAGTTTCGGAGAAGAGGCCAACCTGTAATAGGAGTGACTCGGGTGGGATATTAGGAGAACTTTCTGCCAGGGAGTTGGTAGATAGTGTGTGGCCTGAGAGCCTGACAGAAAGAGAAAGCTGCACTCTGTTTTCTCTTTGGCTTGATTCTCTTGCCGCTGTCCTGAGGCAGAATCGTCCTGAGGGCAACGCCTCGATCCAATAGGACTATGGTACGAGCCACGTATGTAATTTAAAACATTCTAGCGACTGCATTACATATTTTAGATGAGTGAAATTAACTTTGGTAATATATTTTAATCCAATATATCCAAAATATTACTGTTTCAACATGTAGTCAATAGAAATTAATGAGGGTTTTTCTAGGTGTTTGGGTTTTTTTTTTTAAAGATTTTTTATTTATTTGAGAGAGAGAGAATGAGAGAGAGAGCACATGAGAGGGGTGAGGGTCAGAGGGAGAAGCAGACTCCCTGCTGAGCAGGGAGCCAAATGCAGGACTCGATCCAGGGACTCCAGGATCATGACCTGAGCCGAAGGCAGTCACTTAACCGACTGAGCCACCCAGGCGCCCTGTATTTTTTTTTTTTAAGATTTTATTTATTCAGGGTGCTCAGTATCTCTACGCGGCTCAAAGCTGCCACACTGGGCAACCCAGGGCTTGGGTCTCCTCCTGGGCACAGGGCTCCTTCCTGCAGGACATTTTCCCCAGACCCTTCCAAATTCCAGAGGCTTTGACCCCACGCTGCTGCCGACTGGGATGAGAGAAAAATGCCACCATCCCAGGAACCTTTTCTTGGGCCCTGGCTGGCTGCTGACTTGCTGAGGCCCCAGCAACCTGAGGCTGGCTGAGGCCTACCCGGGGGCCCTGGGGGAGCTGGTCCCCACACACACCATCACGTGCCCTGCCCTCCTTTTCCTGGGAAATGTTTACATTCCAGACACTGTGCTATCTCCCCAAGACTTTTCCAGGCGCTGCATTTTTTACATAGCTGAACAGGGACCTGGGCTGACCAGGGGGGTTCCTGCTGGGTCACTCCTGCTCTCCAGTCTGTCCCTTCCAGGTATAGCCATTTGTAGGGCAGACTAGTTCCTGGCAAAGAGCCGGCGGGGGAGTGGGGGGGGGTGGGGTGAGGGGGGGGAGGTGGGCTTACACCTATGTGTCCCCAGAATAGCATTCTTTGGAGCTCTCTTCCCTGGCTGACCCCACCTCAGGGCCTCCTCCTGTGAGCTGCTGGACTGGGCCAGACAAGCCAACAACCGGCAGTTGGGATTGCTAAACCGTCGTGCCCACTGGCACTTCTCTCTGCTCCTTTGGACCTGATGGGACAGCCAAGGGAAGCCCAGAGGAGAGCCCTGGGCCTAAGGAAAGCCGCCTCATTCGTGCAACCTTTTTCCTACAGGGCAGAGCCTTCATTGCTTTAAAAAAAAAAAAAAAAAAGCGTAAAGCATCTGGCTGGCATTCTTTGCCCTGCTCTGATCTAGCTCTGCAGGTTCCGTATCCCCTGGGGTGGGAGGCGGGGGGGCGGGGAGCTCTGAGCAAGAAACAACCACAACCTTCCCGAAGGTAGTTTATCAATCCAAGTCTGTAGTATATACATCCATACCTTTTAAGCTTGTAATTCCACCACTGGGACATCTACCTAAGGAAATACTGAGTTGCAGGCAAAGACAAGAGGAGTGCAAGGAAGGTCATCAATGCAATTGGTAATGGTAAACCCTGTAGAAACAAAGTGTTCACCAACAAAAGCCTGGCGAGTTCAGGCGCCTTGACACAGGGAACATTCCTTAGCTGTTTATTTTATTTTATTTTTTTTTCAGATTTATTTATTTGAGAGGGAGATGGAGCACCTGTGCAGGGGGGTTTGGGTGGGGGTGGGGGCAAAGGGAGAGGGAGGGAGAGAGAATCCCAAGCAGACTCCCCGCTGAGTGCAGAGCCCTACGCAGGGCCCGATCTCACGATCCTGAGATCAAGACCTGAGCCAGAATTAAGAGTTGGATGCTTAACAGACTGAGCCCCCCAGGCTCCCCTCCTTAGCCATTTAAAAGTCACTTCAGTGCTTTGGACAACTTGGGCTGGCTGTGGGTGGGCAAACAGGCTACGTAGCTCTGCGTGTATGCACATAGCCGTGGGGCACGACCCCAGTCAGCTCTCTCTATTAAGTGAAGACACACAAGTATACGGTCACAACACAAAGACTCACACCAAGATGCTAGCAAGGGTCACTTCTGGTTGTGGGGGTATGGGTGATTTTTGTTTCGTTTTTCAAACTTCTTCGTATGTTCCAAGTTGTCTACAATGTGTATTACTTCTATAGTAAGAAATGAGCAAAAGCGTGTGTCTGCAACAAAACTCCAGAACCTTCTCTGGAAGGATAGTGGAGAACTCTCGGTAACAGAGGTACAGATGTTCAGGGCTGGAGGAGCCTCGGACGGCCAAGAGTCCGGGAAGGCTGCTGTGGGTTCTGTCCTCCCGTAAGCACTGGCCCAGGACTGCGGTACAGCCAGGCTTCCTGAGCATTCTGGTCCAACACTGTGCCAGCCCCCCAAAGCTTCCCTTGCCCCCATACCCCTGCAGGAGGACTGGGTCAGTCACCCATAGTGTGGGTGGTGGAGGAACCAGGTTAGAGTTCCTGGAGAACGCGTGGCCAGTGTGGTGTCAGGGGAGAGTGTGTCCCAGGGATGGCCGCAAGGCCAAGGACTGGGTCAGAAATGGGTCTGGGATTGGCTCTGCACTCAGGCATCTGGGCAGGAACCTGGACATGACCGACGTGCTCCTTCCTGCTGGGGCGGCTCTGCTGCAGCTCCTCTGTCCCGTGCTGGCTGCCCAGCTGCGCGGGGCGGAGGGGACACATGTGCAGGTCTGTGCTGAGTGCTTCTCATTGCAGACGGTGGAGCACGGCTTCCCACACCAGCCCAGCGCCCTCGGCTACAGCCTGTCTCTGCGCATCCTGGCCATTGGCACCCGCTCCGGAGCCATCAAGCTGTATCCTTTCCGTTCCCCCAGCTCCCAGCCGGGTGGGGGAGGGGGCGCTGGAAGGGGCGGGGGCCCTGGCATTGGTGGGATTCAAAGGAAAGCAGGTTGTAGATGACCCCTCCTGTTCTTGGGATGATCCACATACCCTCTTGGGAGTCAGCCGTGGATGCAGTGAGTGGAGGCAGGTTGGGTCTGTTTGTTTTTTTTTTCCCTTTCTCCCAATTAGTAGACTGGTCCCAGGGTGCTCTCCACCAGGGTGGCCTTGGGTGGGAGGAACAGTGCTAAGGCTTCCAGATTCTGCCCCACCATGCACGCCCCCTGTGTCTACACAGGCACACCAGAGAGAGTGGACTCCTGGTTGGCACGGACAGCCCTTCCCTGGCCTCGGGCTGGACATGGCCCAATGGGGTCATCCTCTATCCAAAGCATTGGTTCTGGGCTATTTCAGAGGCAAGCCCGCGGGTTCCAGGATGGAGGATCACTGCTTGGGTCCTCGGGCTGGCCTGAACTACAAGTCTGGGAGCTCCCCCACCCCCACATCCCACCGAGTTCCTAGAGTGAGCCAGGGTGGCACCTGGGAGAATTGGGAGATGGGGGACCCTCCTCAGGGGAAGCTGTGCCTCCATCCCGGTCCTTCTGCCGCAGCACAGCGGGGCAGGCAGGGCTGAGGCTGCATAGAGCGTGCTCTCAGCTGGTTAATCATTGCCCCTGGTTCCCAGTCCCCGGTGCAGAGACTCATGGCCATAGCTGCTGGGGGCGGGCCCAGGGGGGTGCCCTGTCTCTTCTCAGGTGCCACCTTGTGGTAGCTGCTGGGTCTGTTGCGGCTCAGGTAGTGGGGGCAGGGGGAGGGTGTAGAAAGCAGTCGGGCATTGCCAGGGTGGGTGGCACCCCCACCTGCCTGGCTGTAAAAGCTCTCCCTGGTTGGAGCTGGCTCCCCCTCGGGGTCACATCACCCTGCAGCACGTGCCTTCAGGCCAGGGCCACTGCTTTCCTGCCCTGGGGCCAACTGGGGGGGAGGGAGAGCCCGTCTGTGTTGCTAGGTATTTATATTCCTTGCCACGTGGGCCCAGAGGTCCTGGCCCTTGAGCGGGAGGGGGTGGTGTCCTGCCTTCCGGAGCTTTTCCTGAGCCTGCCGCTCGCAGCTATGGTGCCCCTGGGGTGGAGTTCATGGGGCTGCACCGGGAGAACAACGCTGTGGTACAGATCCACTTCCTACCTGGCCAGGTAAGGGGCCTTCCACGCCCCCTTACTCTCACGTCCCCCAGCAGGGAAGTACAGAGGCAGGCATTTGGTGGCCCTGGATTGGGTCTGATCGGGCCGGGGACCACCCCCCTTTTCCCAGCTACAGGTTAATGGACCACCCTAAGAGTAACCAGGGGTCTTTCGGTTCTGGGGCTCTCTGAATCAACTGGCGCAGGGTGGGCCACCCGGGGGTGAGAGGCCATGGTGAATGCTGGCCCCTCCATAGCTGATGAGACAGCATGCTCCTGGTTCCTGAGCCATTCCCTCCCTAGTGCCAGCTGGTCACCCTGCTGGATGACAACAGCCTGCACCTGTGGAGCCTGAAGGTCAAAGGCAGCGTGTCAGAGCTACAGGAAGATGAGAGTTTCACACTGCGTGGTCCCCCCGGGTAAGGACACGGTGCCCGTCCTCTCCCAGCCAGCCTGACCTGCACACCCAGCTCCAGGGTGGAACCACCCTGTAAAGGTCCTGTGGCGCCCTTGGGGGGCCTGGCAGTTGCTTGAGCCGATGCATCCCCACCTGCAGGTGCTCTGGCGGAGCGGGTGGGGCTGCGGCCTGCCTCCCTCCATCCCCACGCGGCGTCTGCGTAGAAGGCTCTGGGGGCGGGGGG